TTTTATATATATATATATATATATATATATATATATAGGGCTGCACAACCGAGCAATTATTTTGTCATAACATTTTAACAGTAATATCACATTTAATCTCGTATCAAGTCTCGTATTTCTGCTGCAGAAACTAACTAGGACCTCTTTCGTGGTCTTTATTATTCTTAATTTTAGCTCTAATTGTGAAAACGTAGACATCAGTATATCACTATTGTAAATTACAGTTGTACCATAAAATAAAAATATATTTTAATAGCTTTTAATCAATTCATGAACCCCTTGCAGTTGGCTTATTGAACCCTCATTTAGGAAACCCTGGAAGAGAAGGTTGAGTAAAGGCAGGGGTCCTAGGTTCTGGGGGTCTAGTTTAGGATGAGCAAGTATTCAGTTTGGGGTAGAGATCAGAATTAAGGTGAAGAAGAAACCTCTTTCTTCTACTGGACTGACCTTGTTTCAGTAAAAATGAACTGTAGCGTTGGACTTCGAATTCTATACTCTTCATAATCTAACACCTATTCAGAACCACATTTCAGGTGGTTTGATTTTGAAGGGCCAGTGATTTAAATAAATAATTTAGTAGGTGCCAAAGCACTTTCTTTTCTTACATACTTAAAATTGTCCTCTTCACTTTTGTATTTTTCAAGATAAGAATTTTTTTTCCTTTTCCAGCACTCTTAGAATTAATATTTTAGCCAAAACAGCAAATTAAATATTTAATCCTTTTATAAATGCATGCCTTGATTTTCAGGCTATGATCTGCTGCACTGGAGCTGACCCCATCTAACCATATTCTTTTCATTTTACCTGTGTCAACAACTCCTATGAAACACCCAAAATATCACAGACTTGTGTTTTCATCTCCTCAGGCAATCCACTTCTACTGAATTCCTCCATGCAGCCCGATATAACCGTCGGCCAGATGTACAGCAGCCCAATCTGCTTTCAGGACTCCATTGACAAAGAGCTCTTTGACCCCCTGCCAGACAAGGTCAAAGTTCAGAGCTCCTTTATGGTTTCACTAGGTGTGGCGGACCGGGCCGAGTACCATGTGAAAGCCCATCCAGGGACCCTTCCTGCTAACCTTCACCCAAACTACAGCACAGTGGAAGGAAAGATGATGGCTATGATTGTTCCTAATGGACTTCACACACTCAGGAAGACTCGGTTTAAGACAAGTGCAGTGTTTGGGCATCTGGGTGGCCGATTAGTCATTCCAAATGCAGGTGAGAGAAAGTTGTATTAGTGTTTGTATTAGATTCCATTCATCAAGTTATTTTTATGCAATGATGAGCATGACTTGAATTAATCTTAAGATACAGTACAGCTACATTTATTCATATTCTTTTAGCAATTGGATGAAGTTCACCCAAAAATGAAAATATAGTCATTTGTTCACCCTCATTTCCTTCCATACCCACAAACAGTGGCATGAACAGTATGCAAAATAACTCTAATCATCTGTTTGCATCTAATAAGTACACTAAAACCAAATGCTCTCTTTGGCTGATGCTTGTAAAGGGCAACAGTTCACAGAAACCAGTTCTCTGTGATTTGTTATTTTTACTTGTGAGTGTGCACGAGGAAGTGAGGAAAATAAAGGCAGACTACATAAAAACAACTATCGTTATTAAAATACACGAGTACTGTTATTATCTGTATATTGACTTGAATAAATTAGTAAAGATGAGGAAGAAGATTACAAAATATTTGTCCTCTAAACAAATAGAAAATTCTGCTGCTGAGGGTATTGTGTACATATTCACCATTTCACAAGATTGTAGTTAAATATAATATATGAGCACTTAATATGTAAAAATAAGGACATGGAATCATTTTTAAGTCTTTTAATGTGTTAACGAATGCTCATATTGGCAATTAGTTCATGTAGCATAGGAATTAATGTGTATTGTGTAGCTGCACATAAATAGTATCTCAGTGTTGTTGTTGGTTTTCTAGGAGTAAGCTTGCTGGTGCCTCACGGGGCGATTGCTGATGACACCTCTTGGGAAATGTACATGCTCACAAATCAAGAGGAGTCTAGGTAAGACTGTAGATGACATATTTGTATCACTTTCATATCATTGTATAAGCATTAGCATTTATTCTTAAAGGTTCAGGAAAAAAAATATTTATTTTTATTTTTTAATTTCTTTTTTAAGAAACAATTCAATTTTCTGTTTTTCTAGAAGCTTTTAACTAGACCTGACGTTATACACTAAACAGGCAGCCACCACAACAAAATGTTCCAATGATGGACATACTGTATTTCATAAGATGTTTCATTTACATAATCCGCATATCATGCCAAAAGAGAAATCCAGATTTTAAAAAAGACAATTTACTATTGTCTTTCAAGGACACACCTTAATAAAACTGTAGGGTGTTTTTTTTCTGTAGGACAGATGAAAATGACTCTGCTACTTATACCAATGATGAAAGTAAGTGCAGTTAGAATAGCTAAATATGTGGTAGAGTGTTGCTAGAATGTGACTATATTGTTAATGCACTTAACTGTGTATTATTAAATCAATGTAAAGTCTAGTTTACACAGTGGTTTATTAACAGTACTGCTTTGAAAGGTTACATATTTAAAGTCAGATGCTACTGCTTTAAATAGTTACACATTAGAAGAAATAGATACAAATTAGGAAAATGAAAATTTCTGATACATTGACATTACAGTACATGCATTGCAAACGCGTTATACGTTTTTATAAGTGCTTTGTGGTATACAGGTATGGTGTCGCCTGTTTTATGGGAAGAAATCCCATTAGTTTGAATAAATTAATACGGAATTGACTTCTATCATCAAGACTCTCTCGCCTTAAATTGAGATCTGATTATGAATATTAGAGATGGAATCTGACTTCACATTGGAACGTGTAATGCCATAAAAGCTCTGTCAAACAAGCAGGATTCTGACTTTGAGTTATTGAACTCTTTTAGGTGAAAAGCTGAAGTCTGATTATGACACAAGCAGTGACTTGATTTTCCTTTATCACATCGAACACGAAGTTCACAGAAGTGAATCGTTTTTATCCTGATCATTGAGTGATCATTTTATGTGAGTTGTTTTGGCATATATAGGTCATGGTCTATACCCCCACCTGAATCTTTCCCCATAAAACTTTCTTGATAGTTTCTGAAGGTCTTTGACACATTGTGTATTCTCAGCATGTAAAGGTAATGACCCTGCATGAGCCTTGATGTGTCTCTGGAGACAATGTGAGTGTTGCACTCTGCCAAAACATGAAGGAGATCCAACACAACTGCTATCATTGCTCAGACTGAATACATCTTCATAATGACACAGGATGATTAATCTTCATAACGACACAGGATGATTGAGGAAACAGGAAACAGAAACAACAACAAATGAGTGTAAAATGAGGACGTTATGAGTCATTGTTAACCACATCTGTGGCAGAACACTGATTTAGACTGGACACTTGAGTTCAAGGTGCACCCTGTAATTTTATCCTCACTAAAATATGTTTTACTTATAAATAAATCAAATGAATAGCACTTTTTGCAAATTATGTTAAATGATGCACATGAGGTCAAGGCCTCAGTCATATCAGTGGCCTGCATGTGACTTCAAGATCGAGATCACTTTCCAGGTGTGCAACATAAGCTCATTGTAAATACGTGTCTCTACCTATTTTTGCAAAACTCCAAAAACATACATAGGCAGTTTCCAGCTGAAACAAACACTAAAGGCACCAAAACGGCAATAACTTTCCTTTTGCTTTTCACACAAATTATGACTATTTGGGCAGATTATTAACTAATAAAGACTTATTTTTGCACAATTTCTATACATAATTATTTATGACTTCTAAACACTTAACATAGCACTTGATTTGTAAACGAACACATTTTGATATTTGCATGACATTTGTATGGCTTTTTTTTAACATAGTAAACTTGCTTGGTAGCTCACCCGGAACAGCATTGCACTTGTGCTCAGTTACAAGTCCTGTGAGATGCGAGTCAAGATAAAAGAGCTCAGAGACTAACCCTAACCCTAACCCTAACCCTAACCCTTTTGTTGAAATGTTGACGATTGGGTTCAAGGTGTGTCTTTCCAAAATTTACTACTGCTGTTACTACTACTAATAAAAATAAATGTTTTTAAAAGAGTGCATTATCTGAGCTGAGTGTTTTATACCACACTCTGTAAATGTTTCATTTTGAAATGTGTCTTTGTGTTTTAGGTCTGCTTTTTGTTTATGGTTTGTGTCTTATAAAAAAATCTAGAATGACATTATCTTGGAACCGTAGATTAAAAAGCCTGTCCTCAGCTCAGGGTACCATGTAATTGTAAATATCACAATATTGAATTCTAATTTTTTAAAAAGAATTCTTCTAATTCATAATGGAAATATCATTGCAACATTGTATCTTAAAGGGATAGTTCAGTCTAAAATGATAAACCAGTGCTTGTTCCAAACCTGTATGATTTTCTTCTCTGGAAAATAGACATTTATCATGTAACTGCTCTTTTCCTTACAATTCAAGTGGATGGGGATAATCAGGCTACCAAAAGAAATAAAAATATAAAAAATGAGTCCACTGTAAAATTAGTTCACTATATTTCAAGCCTGTGTCATATGATAACTTTGTCAATTTAGGCTATTATTCACAGATAATCTTTCTATGAAATCTGTGCTTTGGCATCTTTGACAGCAGTTTGGACATTCTGATATAGCTCCTTTTGTGTTCCACAAAAAAGAAATTTCAAGTTTAAAAAGACATGAGATTGAGTAAGTGATTATAGACTTTTCATTTTTGCAGAACTATTCATTCAAGTCAAGTTACTGATCAATTTGCCACACTGAAGTCACGGTCAGATGCCCAAATGAAAGAATGAATACATAATGGAAACATTAAATTTGCCTGTCGCCTCCTACAGTGTCCGTTAATGCTCCAGCACTCTGCTGCCTGACCCTCTAGCAGTGACTCATCAGTCTTTTTGAATAATGCTTCTCAATACAGACCTAGGAGCTTGCAGGATAAGACCCTTGGTGATGAGGAGGAGAGTAGTAAAAAACATGACAAGCTACTTAAGGTACTAGATTGGAAACTCGTTTAGAAGTGCAGTTCCTTATGCAACCCAGATAATCTGCCCCTAGCCTTGACTCAGAAATGAAAACCAGTGTTGTGTTGCAATGAAGAACTGGTTACATAGAGAAATCCGGTCTTCTGTGATGTGAATACCAGAGAGATCTGTACATAGCAATGCAAAGTTTTATCTGTTTTAATATTTTAAAACTAGTAGGATGTTATTTGAATTATGTAATGATGACAAACCTTTCGATTGAGTGGTTATGTTTTTTTTAGGTTTAAATTTAAAGTTAATTGAAGTACAATGTTTTTGCCTCAAGAATGTCATTGTGAAACAGATACAGTTGAGGCATTTCAGACATTCATCATGCATTGTCCTTCATACAGCCTCTTTTAGTTAAACCTGAATGAGGTTTGAATAACATTGAAGTTCTTCCAGAGCTGGCATGCCTGAATAGTAATTAGATGTAAATAGAAGAACACTTGAAGAGAGTTTGGAAGAGGACAGGCTGATTGGCTGTGAAGAGTGGTTTAGTCCTTATTCCCTCTTCAGCAAAGCTGAATTAATATAGATTCAGATAAACTGTAAAAGCATATGGTGTCCTTTGGGCATACTGTAAAAGTCCTTAAAGCGAGTTCTACTGCTGTGGTGCTCCTAGACTTTCGGGTTTGTAGTGAGTTTTCTGTTACTAAGTGGTTAGTTGGAAAGACAGAAGGAACAAATCTTTGGATATACGTGGCACTTTGGAGTCCAATTGCTTTCTTTAAAGTATTGGAAGCACAAATGCCATGTTTGACAAAATATTACCTTACAGAAGTATTTATTAATATTATCCAACTCAACTTTTTTTTTTTTTTTTTTTT